TTTTTTTCCCATTTCTGTTTTTGTTGTCGCGTAGTTGTTTTACATTTGTTTGTGTTTCTTTTTTTTTTTTTTTTTTTTTTTTTTTTTTTTTTTTTCTATTCTTTTTCAATATATTTGTGATTTTTGTTTGAATAGTTGCTCGGAGAGCGAGTCCGAGATCGCAACTAACGTTTTTGCAAAGAGAGATGATAGCATTTTATATACATATGTATGTACTATGTGTGTGTATATATATATACACACGTATACAGGATGTTTAAAAAATATTTCCATACGAACGTGATGAGCGATATTCTATGTTCAAAAATAAGAAAAATATGTTTCATTGAAAACAAAATAATAATAATTGTAAAACCTACTGCGTATAAATGTTGTGTTGGTATGTCAAATTTCTTATGAATTTCTATTAATATCTGCAATTGCATAAATTTCATATTTTTATTTTCTTCTTATAAATAAAAATCTAGAGATGAGAAAATTTTATTATTCAGATTAAGAATACGTTCAATCTCTCTCATTCTAAGATACTAAACACAACACAACATACTTAAAATCGCAGCGCATTTTTGACCAACACATTTAAACAATTTTACAATTGATAATATACTGTTGAATAAAACTTTACATCGAAGACTATGAATTATGGAACATTTCATTTTTTTTTTTTTATTTTCTTTTTCTTTTTTCTCATTTTTGTGCATCGAATACGTTTACAACGTTTGTAAGAAAATAAAACTTATGGACATCCTGAATATATATATATATATATATTATTATATGTATGTGTATATTTATATATACACGTAGTATTCATTGAACACGTACACGTTCTTATATAAGCGTAATTCTAATTACAATTATGTATTAATTAATATCGATTGGGGCGTGTTTTACGCAGGAACTTTTACATAGAAGGAAGCATTATGGTTAGTCCAATGTAATTTTGTCTTTTAGATATTAGAAAACTATTTTATCGTGAAAGTGAAAAAGTGAGAGAGGAAGAGAGAGAGAGAGAGAGAGAGTGAGTGAGTGAAACAAAAAAATAAAACATGGAAAGAACGGAAGTTAATAATAATATTACATGAGTTATTTCCATGGATTCGTATGAAAGTGGAAAGAATGAAAGAAGAAGAAAAAAAAAACAGATTTTTTTTTGTCGTCTCTTTACACGCTTTTAAATATATATATATATATATAATTTTTTTTTCTCTCTTCAATTGTATTATTCCTTATTTTCCGATAGTTTTTTTCTTTTCTTTTCTTTTTTCTTTTTTCTCTTTGTATAATCATGCCTTTCTATACTTCAAATAAAATAATTGATACGAAAAAGCGTAATTACACAAAGGGATGAATGATTATAATAATACCTTGATAATCATAATAATCATGTGTGAAAAATTAATAAATAGGTTTCTCTTTTAACTATTGTAAATTTATATAAACGCCAACGATGTTTAGAAAATATTAAATCATGATGTGAAGAAGAAAAAAAAACGAAAGAATAGAAAATAATTTGCAATAAAAGAAGAATAATAATTACAATCAAAAAAATAACAAAACTTGTGAGAAAATAATTTCAAGTTTTTTTACGAGCTTATTATTATTATTATTATTATTATTATTATTATTATTATTAATATTTTTATTATTACAATTATTGTTATTATTATG